TTGTATATTTTGATTAACGATCAAAATGTTAAAGAACCTTTACCAATGTAAGTTAATCCGTTACTATGCCCTTGATAACCGAGCAAGAGATTTTAACAAAGAAATATTGAAAAGAAATCTTAGTACAGACTGAACACCTAAGGCGAGAAACAAAGTATTTTTTTTATCCTCGTCTATGCTGTTTTGTATGGGTTGATTTTTCCTTTTCTAGTTTTCGTCAGTAAAACTAAATCGTTTCAAATTATATCATCTGGATAGTTAACCTGTTTCCTAGTTCTTTGCTTCACTGACTTATGCTTTTGTTTCGTTTTCTTAATGATGACTTTACATGTATGTTTACATTTGAAGTAAATTTACGCATTTTAGACCGTGCTCCAATACGGAAAATAATAGACTGGAAATAATATTTAAGGTAATAAAGCCCGCCATTTGCCGGAAATGATGATTGCCATATGATAAAAAATATTTTTAACCTTGTTAAGTAATTGATTGTCTTTAAAATGCTTTTATTTGCTTTCACAAGATATCGCTGACATGATATGGGTAGCGTGGCCGAGTGGTCGAAGGCGCTGATTTTAAGCAGCAATCAGGAAAGTGGCATGGGTTCGATTCCCATCGCTACCAGCACGTCTTATTGTTTGGAATTTATTTAAGAAATTTTTAAAAAATTTACGCAAATGTGGAAATGAACATGAAATAATTAGTACGTCAATTCTTAAATAGGAACATCATATTTTAATTAATTTTTACGATTGTTAACTGTAGGACAAAAGTTTATATGCTATATCAGAAGAATTTTTGTCGTGTAAATAGCTAACCATTAATATTTCGCTACAATTTATATACCTTTTCCCTTTAATTCGTCCGGTGTTGTGGCGCATAGTTGTGACTGATTCCGTTGTAATTATTAGACATCATTGTTTTTCATAACCTATCACGAGAGGAATAAATATCTAGCAATATACAAATAAGAAAATGCAACATCTTTCACAAACAACTAACTAAATTTGACAGCTAGAGACATTATGTGTAAACACCGGCAAAACTGCAGCGGACTTTTCACGTATCAGGGTAAACCCAGTCAAAATTTTAAAGAAAACTTTTTCCGGCGTAGTGTAATCGTAGTCGTAGATTGCATCTATAGACACTTGTTTTATGGTAGTTAACCTTAAAATACTTGTATAGAATGCTCTGTTTATTGTTACATTTTTCTAATCCCATCCTGAAAAGTCTATATTTCCGACGACAAACAATATTTGAAAGTGAAAGCTTTGCGCATTTCAAATGATCGCAAGTATTTTGTATTTTCCGTTCATGGTTTGACACGTATCATATATTTATATTGGAAAATTTTAAATCCACAGAAATAACATTTGCCTTTGGTAATATAGTTGAAATTAAAATAAGTTGATTTGCATAAATTTAAATAATTAGGCAATTCTTTTCCCAAATAAATCGCAGTTGACAGTAAGGTAGTGTGGCCGAGTGGTCTAAGGCGCTGGTTTAAGGCACCAGTCATGAAAATGGCATGGGTTCGAATCCCATCACTGCCAATCCCCTATTTTAGATCTTATGTTTTTTAATCAGCTTCCCAAAAATATCCCAAAAAGTCTTTTCTAAAAACAAGAACAATCTTGATTAACATTACAATGAGCAAAGAAAACTCAAATTGAGCTAACTGATTTTAACATTTGTATAGTTCAGAGATCTTTTTGTACAAAAAATTTATAACAGAGAAAGTCACGGGCTTACTAATGTATTGATATAAGTGTTGGAAAAAGAACTGATTTCTATTTAAAAAAGTTACATTTAATTTTTTACGTTGTACCAAGTACATATGACCTGTAAACTTTTTTAATTTTTGATAAAAAAAAAAATAGATTATCAAATTTCTTATCGTTTATTTCACAATTGACGTTCCATTTTTTGGGTTTTAAAGTTTTTTAATTAAAAGTGATTAAAAATCCAATTGAAGCGTTTTTTAGAATAACATATTTAAATTAACAATAATAATTAATTTTTCCCCTTTTAGAAACATATATATTAGAAGCGTGTCTTGTATATTTTGATTAACGATCAAAAATGTTAAGAACCTTTACCAATGTAAGTTAATCCGTTACTATGCCCTTGATAACCGAGCAAGAGATTTTAACAAAGAAATATTGAAAAGAAATCTTTAGTACAGACTGAACACCTAAGGCGAGAAACAAAGTATTTTTTTTATCCTCGTCTATGCCGTTTTGTACGGGTTGATTTTTCCTTTTCTAGTTTTCGTCAGTAAAAACTAAATCGTTTCAAATTATATCATCTGGATAGTTAACCTGTTTCCTAGTTCTTTTGCTTCGGCTGACATTAATAAGTGGTTTTTTGTTTCGTCTTTCTTTTATGATGACTTTACATGTATGTTTACATTTGAAGTAAATTTACGTATTTTAGACCGTGCTCCAATACGGAAAATAATAGACTGGAAATAATATTTCTAAGGTAATAAAAGCCCGCCATTTGGCCGGAAATGATGATTGCCATATGATAAAAAATTATTTTTTAACCTTGTTAAGTAATTGATTGTCTTTAAAATGCTTTATTTGTTTTGTTTTTTTCACAAGATATCGCTGACATGATACGGGTAGCGTGGCCGAGTGGTCTAAGGCGCTGGTTTTAAGCACCAGTCATGAAAGTGGCATGGGTTCGAATCCCATCGCTACCAGCACGTCTTAATGTTTGGAATTTATTAAACAGAATTTTACAAATTTACGCAAATGTGGAAAGAAGCATGAAATAATTAGTACGTCAATTCTTAATTTTTGTATATTAAGAACATCATATTTTAATTAATTTTTAGGATTGTTTATTGAAAGGACAAAAGTTTATATGCTGTATCAGAAGAATTTTTGTCGTGTAAACAGCTAACCATTAATATTTCGCTACAATTTAGATACCTTTTCCCTTTAATTCGTTGCGTGTTGTGGCGCATAGCTGTGACTGATTCCGTTGTAATTATTAAACATCATTGTTTTTCATAACCTATCGCGAGAGGAATAAACATCTAGCAATATACAAATAAGAAAATGCAAAATCTTTCACAAACAACTAACTAAATTTGACAGCTAGAGACATTATGTGTAAACAACGGCAAAACTGCAGCGGACTTTTCACGTATCAGGGTAAACCCAGTCAAAATTTAGAGAAAACTTCTTCCGGCGTAGTGTAATCGTAGTCGTAGATTGCATCTATAGACACTTGTATTATGGTAGTAAACTTAAAATACTTGTATAGAATGCTCTGTTTATTGTTACATTTTTCTAATCCCATCCTGAAAAGTCTATATTTCCGACGACAAACAATATTTGAAAGTGAAAGCTTTGCGCATTTCAAATGATCGCAAGTATTTTGTATTTTCCGTTCATGGTTTGACACGTATCATATATTTATATTGTAAAATTTTAAATCCACAGAAATAACATTTGCCTTTTGTAATATAGTTGAAAGTAAAATAAGTTGATTTGCTTAAATTTAAATAATTAGGCAATTTTTTTCACAAATAAATCGCAGTTGACAGTAAGGTAGTGTGGCCGAGTGGTCTAAGGCGCTGGTTTTAGGCACCAGTCATAAAATTGGCATGGGTTCGAATCCCATCACTGCCAACATTTTAGATCTTATGTTTTTTAATCAGCTTCCCAAAAATATCCCAAAAAGTCTTTTCTAAAAACAAGAACAATCTTGATTAACATTACAATGAGCAAAGAAAACTCAACTTGAGCAAACGGATTTTAACATTTGTATAGTTCAGAGATCTTTTTGCCCAAAAAAATTTTGTAACAAAGAAATTCAGGGGCTTACTAATGTATTGATATATGTCTTGGAAAAAGATCGCTTCTATGTTTAAAAAAGTTACATTTAATTTTTTTACTTTGTACAAGGTACATATGACCTGTAAACTTTTTTAATTGTTGATAAAAAAAAAAATAGATTATCAAATTTCTTATCGTTTATTTCACAATTGACGTTCCATTTTTTGGGTTTTAAAGTTTTTTAATTAAAAGTGATTAAAAATTCAATTTAAACGTTTTTTAGCATAACATATTTAAATTAACAATAATAATTATTTTTTCCCCTTTTAAAAACATATATATTAGAATCGTGTCTTGTATATTTTGATGAACGATCAAAAATGTTAAGAACCTTTACAAATGTAAGTTAATCCGTTACTATGCCCTTGATAACCGAGCACGAGATTTTAATTAAGAAATATTGAAAAGAAATCTTTAGTACAGACTGAACACCTAAGGCGTGAGACAAAGCATTTTTTTGTCCTCGTCTTTGCCGTTTACTACGGGTTGGCTTTTCCTTTTCTAATTTTCGCCATTCCACATACCCGCCGCTGTCGTCACACAGGCGGCCAATGACTTTCATAGCTTTGCCAGCCAACCACGCGCGATTATGCCGCCGAACTTTGAAATGCTCGGCTAGACTCATGACGCTCACATCTCCAGTTTGACATGCCAAACACTCCATACCACTGACGCTATTTCACACACACCGTTTTATTTAACTACTGGTTTTCCGTCGCAAACAAAAGAGATGTTCACCGCTGTGATTTATTATGATCACAGCTTCGGTCTGTAACCTCTGGCGTGGGTGGAATAATAAAACTGTCACAAAATTCTTATAACTTTCTTCTATTTGTAATCATCTCTCAGACTTTGGCGAATATGTTTCATGAAGCTTTAGCTGTCATATTTGTTGATGTTTTTCATCGTCTACGATTTCCTACGAGTACGAACAAGACCACGAGCATGAACATGGACACGAACAAGCTCCGATACAACCATACAATATGTATACTGAATATATAAATATATAACTTATTTTTCTTTTTTTATTTCATTATGTATATTGCATGTACATGATGTAAAAAAAGTGTGAAAAAACGTTTTTTTAAGAATAATTCACACTGACTTCATCAAAACACATATAAAAGTATATTGTGTTACCAGATATGCCTCCCAGTTGTGACGTCATTGCATAAATCTGCATATCTCATTATATTCAAAACAAATCATAATGGCCGCGGAACTTTGAAATTGGAGTCAGAAAAACCTTTGTTACATGAAGACAAAAACTTTGGTTGAACTAACAAAGGTATATTATAAGTCTATGCGATATTTCCCGTTAATTAAGCCTAACTTAAAATATACGTCCAATGTCCTTTAACGCACAAATGCTCTACCTTTCTCAAGCTGTAGTATTGCTCCACAATTTGGGCCAGGATAATAAAACCATATTTGTAATCCTCAAAACGAGATATTTAAGACGATAATAAACACAACTATATTTCAGAGTGTTTACTAGTTTAAAATCCGGAATATTTAGATGTTAGTGAAATAATGCTACATGACAACATGCATATTAATTAACGCAAAAATGCTCTACCTTTCTCAAGCTTTAGATTCGCTCCTGGAATTTATGCCAGGATAATAAAGACATATTTAAAATCCTTGGAACACGCTCTTTCAGATGATATGAACCACAAGTAAATTGTAGTGTGTTTACTGTATAAAAAGCATACCATCTTGAATCCTGTGGTACCTTCACAGTCGACTTTGCATGGCTGTAGATTCGCT